GAAAAAGAAACGAAAAAAGAGAAAAAAGAGAAAGAAAGAGAGGTTTGTCAGGCGGCTTTGTCAGGACACTATACATTGTTATCTGACGCGAGGACCAGTCTGTGCTGCTGCGTCGCGCTTTGTTTTACGCGTTCATTGATATGGCGTGACACACCGCAGCCGGATGCCTGCGAGGCGGATGGATCATATTTTATTTGGAACTGTTGCCTTCCAGCGATTCGTTATCCAATCCCCATTTTTCAGGGGATAATTGGCAACCCACCCCCACCTCTACTCCCCACCCGCTCCCGCTCCGTTAATATAACCGTCCGCGGCCCAATTTGCCGACGCCGTTAGTTTAAACCTTCCATCCGTCGCCACGTGTTGTCGGACGCGCGCGCGCGTTTTTCACGCGAAATCCTGTAAGACAACACAGACAGCTCGCGCTTTCAGCTCATCGCGAGGCTTAGCTGAAGCCCGCCAGCTGAAGCCCCACCCCACCCACCCCCACCATCATCACAACCTTCGTGCATCGGAATGAGGATGCTGCTGCCAGGTCCTCTCCCGGAGCCAGCTATGCAGGAGATGTGTATAGCGTCGTCGCCTGCGTGCGTGCTTGCTGCTATTTCCGACGCTCCCCGCGTGGCCGTGCTCTGCTAGCGCCCCGCGCGCGCCACACGATGAGGGATCGCGTTACGCTATAGTACACTTGCAATTCGTGCGCGCCTAGTGCGCCCCTCTTACAGCTGCAAACTGAAGGTGAGGTTTTTTTCTAGCTGGGATGTGAGGAGGAAGTCAGGGTCGGCGACGGCGAGGTTAGGAGGAGCCCCCGCGCGGACATATTTTACGTGACGGTGGCTTCCTCTCGCTGTTGTGGTAAACCGGAAACAAACAGCTTCTCGTTCGAATATAGAGTCTGTGTGGGCAGTAAACACGGTATCTTTTCCCGGTGCCGCTGCCGACCCACCCTCCACTCGCCTCTTCCCACTCCCCGCTCTCTCTCTCTCTCTCTCTCTCTCTCTCTCTCTCTCTCTCTCTCTCTCTCTCTCTCTCTCTCTCTCTCTCTCTCTGCTCTTCCCTCCCCTTCATTGATTTCGCCTCCTCTCCTTTTATTTATCCTCCCCCCCCGCTCCCATCTCTTCCCTTTCCATTCCTCCCCTCTCATTTCCCGCTCTTGTTCTCCCTACCGCTTTCTTTCTCTTCCTTTCCTATAACCTGCTTTATCCTCTCCGCCCCCATCTTCCACCCCTCCGTTTTATCTTTTTTTACTTGTGCCCTTCCACGGCTCAGCTCCCTGGGGGAGACCGCGCTATATCTCGCAGTTATTTCAATTGAAAGATTCGATCGAATTCGAAAGAACACGAAGCTCGGCTGCCAGACGCGCGGGTGTTACAGTGCGCGCGATGTGCTCGCTCGCGCGCGCACAGAGTAAGCCATCGCGTCTATATTGACTTGATGTTTTGACCGGCGATGTCCGTCACGCGTGGCTGACCGCTGCCTCCGAGTTAGCGGCGCCCGCGATAAAATCTGACCTGGAAATCTTTCGACTTTTTTCCCCTTCCGTCGATAAGCTATAATTATGTGAATGAGGCAGGAAAAGATTGGGTCGAATCATATCACATTGTGGGGGTAGGGGTGGGTAGTTGTGGAGGGGGTGAACAGGAATGGCCAACGGATAATCCCGGTTAGCGGGAGGGGAGTGGGAGAGGATTTCACTGTTTGGAGGCCCATAGTGGGTGATGGGGAGGGATGTCGAGGCTGCGACCATTATATCATGTCGTCCCTCACATCAGTGTGGAACGTTTCTACCGGGCTGCACCAAGGAACTGTGAGCGTAGACAGACCCACTCGACTTTTTTTCTATCGATAATATCCCGCTGCTCTCATACCCTGTGGAGGCGGAGCCAGAACGATTGTCTGGCGAGCATCTGGGAGAGAGAGAGCGCGCGAGAGAGAGCGCGCGAGAGAGAGCGAGGGAGAGAGAGAGAGAGAGAGAGCGCGCGCGAGAGAGAGAGAATAGCGAGGGATGGTGGCCGAGGAAGGACAAGCCACTAACGTTTACCGAGGTGCGTATATCATACATAGCTTATAGCGTAACTAACGCTGAAGGCGGTTTACTTTTAAACCCCGCGCACGAAAATCCGTCGCGCAAAAAGGGGCGAAAGAGTTAAAAAGAACACCCGCGCTCCATTGTTGGGCCGTTACAGGGAAGGGCTGCAGATTTCACACCGCCACCCTCTCTCTCTCTGTCACTGATCTCTTAAACAAACTCACGCCACACATACACACACGCACACGACTGTTGCATTGTACTACTACTGATAGAGGTGGTGGTGGTGCTGCTGCTGCTACTGCTGCTGCTGCTGCTGCTGCTATTGCTGTTGCTGCTGCTGCCGATGCTGCTGCTGCTGATGATGATGATGGTGACGGTGGTGGTGGTGTTGCTGCTGTTGCTGTTGCTGTTGCTACTGCTACTGCTATTGATACTACCTACTACTGCCGCCTCTGCCGCCGCCGCCGCCGCCGCCGCCGCCGCCGCTGCTGCTGCTACTGCAGCTGGTGGTGGTATAGTTTTGATGACACCTGTATCTACCTGTATCTACCTGTGTTATACGGCTACTGGTACACACCCCACACACGACCGACAGCAGCAGTAGCAGCAGCAGCAGCAGTAGCAGCAGTAGCAGTAGCAGCAGCAGAAGCAGCAGCAGCAGCAGCAGCAGTAGTAGCAGCAGTAGCAGCAGTAGCAGTAGCAGTAGCAGTAGCAGCAGCAGCAGCAGCAGCAGTAGTAGCAGCAGTAGCATCAGCAGTCGCAGCAGCAGCAGCAACAATAGCAACAGTAGCAGTAGCAACAGCAGTAGTAGCAACAGCAGCAGTAGCAGCAGCAGCAGCAGTAGCAGCAGTAGCAGTAGCAGTAGCAGTAGCAGCAGCAGCAGCAGCAGCAGTAGTAGCAGCAGTAGCATCAGCAGTCGCAGGCGCAGCAGCAACAATA